GTTTACAGGATTTAGTCAGAACTTACAGGAAGTCGTTCCTATTGACATAAAACCTGTAAGTGGGAACACATTTGAGAGAGTAACTGAGCAACTGTTCCTAGTCAGAAGTTACAGGATTTAGTCCGGAGTTTTTTTTCCTGTAAGTTCATGAAAAGTGTCAAACGATCAGCTGATTTACATGTGCAAACAAAAACAGAAAGCGGTGAAAGCAAAGAACCTTATATTTGTTAAAAAATGGAAGTAAACAACGAAATATTTGAATATGTATAGATTTTAATAATTATTTAGTGATATTTCAGCCAAATCAGTGTAGTACCAATGACATGTAAACAAACCGTCTGACGTTTTTACAGGAAATAGTGCTTTTTGCGTTCCTATGCACTTCTGCATCTGTTCTCCTTTTACTCTCATTTGAGAGCGTAAAATTGTAGTTTGACAGTTCCACAGGTTTTAGTCCGAAGTTCAAAGGAACAGACTAAAGGTTGGCTACTGTCTATACTGTGGTGATTATCGAAGTTACGACTTTTGAGCTCTATTAGGGGTGTGGGTTTTTCGATTAGGTTATTCATCACCTGATTGATTAATCGAATATTTTTGTATCACAATAAAAGTAATATTTAACCTTTATTAATTTATAATTTATTGTGTTTCTGTGCAAATTTGGTCCTGGAATATCTCTAAAATCACAATTTCTCAAACGCTGAAGAAAGAAAGTCGAATATTACAGTTCACTGATGATATTAACACTAAAATATAGTTAATCGATTATCGATTCACAGCAACAAAGTCATCACCAGATACACAGCAACAACGTCATCACGAGATTCACTTAAATGTTTAATTTTTGCTGTAAAGTTGAAGATGTATTGAAACTAAAATATAATTGTTATTTTCGTAATTTATTTTTGAGCTATAGGCCGTATGTTAAATAAAACATTAAATCCGGTCGACCGGACAAAGCTAATAGTTCCTGAAGATGCCTTCAGACTGAAGGCGAAATATCGACCAAAATAAAACTATAAAGTAAATAAAAAAAACTATAAAGTAAAGAAAAACATTTAGTGTTTTATTTAACATACGGCCTATAGCTCAAAAATAAATTATTAAATTGTTATTTTCGTCAAATATTTACAAAATAATTATGAAACTTTATCCACCCATTAATTTCTGTGGGCTTTACAACTATACATGTGAAAATTAAAACCAAATAACTTCTTCCAAATAACCGATGCCAGATCGGAGATTTATCAGGCGTTTTTTTAGTAGCCTAGTGAGTCTACGGTCGTCTTCAAGCTGGCCAATGGCAGTGCAGACATTTTCCATATCAATAAGCACGCCGCCTTCGCGGGTTTTCCGAACAGATCGAATTACGGTCTACGTTTTCTCAGGTTGGAGCTTACCACATATCGTTTCCAGGTTTGACCTGGTGCTGGCCCTGATTTGGGCTTTCTGCGTTTCTCAACCGTTATCCATTGATTATTTGGTGCGGTTTCTGCCCTTTTTTTTCTTTTCCGGCTCGCCTGTAGGGGAGTCCGATCGAAGTCGAGCCCTCTTTTGTGAGCCAGTGCCAGTTTTTCGCAGCTCGGAAAGGGTAGACCTTTTCCGGCGTTTCTCTCGGTGATTGCTTAGTATATTGAAGCTCTTCTCGATTTGGTCCATACCCGTTTTTATGTCCATGCACGCATCTTTCTGATTCGAGACAGCACTCTGCATCTGCTTCAAGACGAGCCGAATTTGTGCTCATCTTCAATGCGCGCATTTCTGCTGCTCTTTCTGAATGCGCTGCATTCTTCCTCCAGAGCATCTACACCGGTTTTATTGGTTTGTTTTTGTTTATTAATTTCTATTGGTTCACCGCTTCAAGTCGCTATTTCCACACGAGGCACACTCGCTTTAAATGTCCCGAAGTTCCTCTCAAAGGAGCAGGCCTTCGCGAGGGCTGTCACAAGTCAATGTCATCAGCTGTGTGCTACAGAACAATATAAAATGTGCCGAACTGAACGGTGAACCGTACTTCAGCACCGTCTCCGGAAAAAATGTTTTGAGAGCAAATAAAAAGTTGTCCGGTCACGAACTGTGAACGCGCCTTAAATCTCAACTGGACCAGTGCGGCCAACTAAATGGCGACCCGTATTGAACGTACTTGGAAGACCTGCCAGGGTTTTAACGAGACGGAGGCGATTGCAGCATTAGCCCATCAGCCATTTCTGTGATGTATCACCCTCACATACTAAAGTGACGTAATACTGCTCTCGCCAGCCCAACAGGATCTAATTGGTCTCAATCCTGGGATGCTTTTTCCCAGCAAACAGTCTCTAACGTTAGAGAAATTTGGATTTCTACATTAGATAACTAAGGTAATTCTCTAATCGTTCTCGACTCGATGACGAAGTTAGAGAACTACATTAAAATTCGATTCGAGAACGATTAGAAAACAACACAAATTCAAATAATGTAAATAAGCAATATTCGATATAAAGGAATCATAAATTATTTTTAAGTTCAAATAATTCATTATTATTTTATTGCAAATACATTTAATACAAATTTTACCAACAAAGCGTTTTATTTAATAAAGCAAAACAGTAGTTTAAAATTCACATTCGAATCCCATTAGAGATCAACATTAGAATTCGATTAGAGAAGTAATAATTTCTCGAGTCGAGAACTATGTCCAATTTTTATTGAGATCGCTACGATTCTCGATAGAGTTTTTCGAGCCGTTCTCTAACGTTAGAGATTGGAGAATGTGACTAGTCCTCCAATCATTCTCTAATCGATAACTAACCTCAATGTTTGCTGGGTTGGGAGGCGGCATCATGTTCATTAAGCATGTCTGATGTTTTAAATCAGGCCCTTGTCTCCTGCCGCTCTTGGTCTGGGATTGCTTATTAGTTATTAGCAGCTAACCTACCGGAGTAGGGCCGTTCACGATCCGCCCTGTGTGACCCCGGTAATGTCGTGAGCTTAGCCCTTACCATTACTATTATTACTAAAGAATTGCAATTAGTTTATTAAACTCAGATGGTAGGATCTGCAGTCCGACAGGGCATGTAATTCAAGCGGACTTCATCCGCATTCATAACGCAGGTAACTGGTATAGTAACGGTTCTCTAAATTCTCCAGTAAGGACGCCATTCTGTGTACCATTAAGGGTGCCATAATATACACCATTAGTCAGTCCATTTTTATACATATGCATGGATTAGTCCAAGACAGGGATGGGCGTTTTTGAATAAATTATTATTCAAATAAAAAATAAAATTTTATTCATAATTTTTCTAATTTTGAATTGCAAATAAATTTTTATTCTTCGTTCAAGCACTTTGGAATGATGAATAAAAATTGCAAATAACAAAAAAAAAATTATTCTTCATTCAAGCACTTTAGAATGATGAATAAATTTTTATTCATCATTCAAGTAATTTCAAATAACGAATAAATTTTTATTCTTCATTCAAGCACTTTCGAATGATGAATAAATTTTAATTCGCCATTCAAGTAATTTCAAATAACGAATAAATTTTTATTCATCATTCAAGTAATTTAGAATGATGAATAAATTTTTTTTCTTCATTCAAGTAATTTCAAATAAAGAATAAATTTTTATTCATCATTCAAGTAATTTCGAATGAACAATAAATTTTCATTAATGATTCAAGTAATACTGAATAAGGGATAATTTTTCATTTATTCATTCTTTCTTGATCACAGTACCACGTAGACGATCATGGTAAATTTTCGTGTCTTATATACATACATATGTAGATTTTGATATCATATTTTCTAATATTTCACACAGAATAAATATTTATATAAGACACGAACATTTACCATGATCGTCTACCTGGTACTGTGATCAAGTAAGAATAGATAAATGAAAAATTATGCGTTATTCAATATAACTTGAATCAAAAATGAAAATTTATTCTTCATTCGAAACTACTTGAATGATGAATAAAAATTTATTCGTTATTTGAAATTACTTGAATGAAGAATAAAAATTTATTCGTCATTCTAAATTACTTGAATGATGAATAAAAATTTATTCGTTATTTGAAATTACTTGAATGATGAATAAAAATTTATTCATCATTCGAAAGTGCTTGAATGAAGAATAAAATTTATTCGTTATTTGAAATTACTCGAATGATGAATAAAAATTTAATTAATTTAATTTAAAAATAACTTTAATGACGAATAAAAATGTATTCATCATTCCAAAGTGCTTCAATGAAGAATAAAAAATTATTCGGCATTCAAAATTGTTGAAATGATGAATGAAAACTTATTCTTATTTTTTTATTCAATTATTCATTTTCCTGATTACGCTCATCCCTGGTCCAAGAGAACAGTGCCCGAAGCAGTAACAGTCCTGACTGTTCTGTCCCGAAAGGCGTGTTAGGATCCGGACAAATTGACGGTTACCCATTAAACTGAACAGCTACATGTCAAGTTCTTCAGTTATCTTAAAGCCCAATTAGTGGTACTACTTAGGTACTTAGTCAGAAAGCTGGTGCAATGCAGCAGTCAACAAATTATTTAATACAGTTTTTCGACTACTTTTTAAATTACTTTGAGGAATGGAATTGGAAGCAAACATTTTATTTCTATATTACTTTCAACTTAATTGGAAAAAACTGATTATACTCCCAATTCCTTTTAAAGAGAATGGACAAAAATTACGTTACGAACACGTAAATAATCCAATTACAATATACAATTCCTTGTAATGGAATAAAAAAAATTAGTTTTGAAATTATTTCTAAGAAATTGAAAAAAAGTAATCAATTCTTTTGCTGTGGACTGAAGGAATTGATTACTAATTACAATTCCTTGTAATTTGTAATTGAAAGTAATTTAATTCCTAAAGGAATTATTACGACCAAGCTCTGCTTTTTCCCCAATAAGGTAATTTCGTTTAAATTTTTTTAAGCATGCATGTGCTTATTTTGTAGCCGCTACTGTATGCACACATGATCTTAATGTGACATTTAAGCTTTTGAACGCAAAGCAGCGTTTGTTGTTTACAAACGAAGAAGTCATAGCAATTGGCGTCTTAATAAAAATGCGGTTTCATGTTACTATAGCTTCGCGAACTCAAAATGCAACGTTATCGAGAAAATCGAAAATTAAGAATTGATTTTGGTCACGCTTCTAACCAATCTTTAAATTCATTTTCAGGAAAACCGCAAAGAATGTCTGACTGGGGTGAAGAGGAAGTAAGGTCTGATTATTTTCAAATTAATAAATATTCGTAACGAAATGTTTTTGTTCTTTAAAAGCACGACACAGGCCGCGGCTTCGGCAATGGCTTTGATCACTGCAAAAATGACGAGAACGGAGGAAATGGTGACTACAATGATACCGAGGACGCCGACAATGGAAATCGAGGATTTGGAAATAGACGTGGTCGTGGCAGTGGACGAGGTATTAATAACATTTAAATATTTAGACTTTATGTAATTTTTTAATGGTAATATATTTGAGGTCGCGGTGGACGAGGTGACAGACACGGAGGGGGTGGTTATGGCGGTGGACCTCGGAACAATGATGACAATCAAGACAATGGTAAGTCGCAATGAATATAAATATGTACATACATGCATATTCTTGAGGTTTTTAATTTTTGTTGAAAAATATGCGTCCATAGATGCATGATAAGCTACATAGTTATCATTATTACCCGGAATCTCATGCGCTAAAAACTCGAAAATATGTGCATATAATATGCACGCAAAATTCAAAAATTTGCTTTATAAACGAGCAAAATATTCAATTAAAAATATTTTCCTAATATTTTATTGCCGGTACAAAAATAAATAACATGTATTTTCACAAGAAAATAACGAAAAGAATTTATTGTTAATTAAGCGAAATCACTTGAAAATGCAATACATATTTATGTATAAAATTAGTTTATAATCAAGCAGACAGTAATAGTCTTGTGTAAATAGAAACACTGACAGTTCAATAGTGGTTCAGATGGATTGCTGGTTGGTATAGGTGGATTGTCACCCTGGTGAAAAGCAATTAGCATGTTTGTCATTTATTTAATTCCACAACTCGTGCAACCTACAGCTATTTGGCGGCTTTAATGAATTTCAGTACGTCATACAGAGAGAGACAGCTGCACTGTGAATCATTCTGCAGGAATGTCTGCCGAGTCTCTTATCCTCATCCTTTCGAGGGCTGGACACTCGCATAGGAAGTGTTCGATTGTTTCTTTTGAGCCAGGGTCATCACAACTGCGACAGAGCCTGTTGAAGGGCAATCCGTTCCTTTCGGCATGTACGCCAACGGGCCTGTGCCCTGTGTACTCTGCAATAAGTGTGTGGGTATCTACCTTGATCATTCTAAGAGCTTTGGTTTTAAGTGGACCGTAGGACACCCAGAACTGCCGGGTAATCCTGTACTGTTCCATATTTGCTTGACCTTCCAATGCTAAATTTCGCTAATTTTTGCTTTTATCTCCCTCAGCGCGGCGCCCATGTCTACCGCACCATGAGCCCCACCTTGATAGTTCGTCCACTGCCTCGTTTCCATAAATGTCCCTAAGTACCAGGACCCATATTAGTGTAGTTTCATATTAATCAAAGATATAGCCCAGCTCTCTCGTACAATCATCCACTTTTTTGTCAAAAGATTTCGCACTAAATTTAAACGGTTGTAAATCGAAAAATATGCAAAAACCTCATGCATTTATTATAAAGCAGGGGTGGGCAAGGCCGAGGCCGAAAGGATCCACACGTAAATTCTAAATGCTACAAAGAGCCACAAAAAAAACAACAAAAACAAAAAATTTATTTTTAAATAAAATTATTAGTAGAAATGAAAAACATTAATTTTATTGATTTCATTTATAGATATTAAAGAAAATTCAAAAGATCCCCTTTGGCCAAATTTTCAAAATCTGCTTGTACGTCAGTTAAAGCCGTGCGTAACAGTTCTGTTAAATGTTGGTTGGTCAATAGGTACGTTCGTTTAAATCTCCAGTAAAAAATTTCCATCAACAAAATACCGGCGAAATGTCATCTGTTCTCTCACAAGAGAAAAATATCCAAAATAGTAGGCGAACAGAAAATTTTCAGAAACTTGCAAGTTAGACGAACAGCTGATACAAATTTTGCTTACATTCAAAAGCATAAAGTTGAAAACGTAAGAAAACAAATCCCGAAGTCTTATCCTGACACAGTTCACTGACTAAACGAATAATTACTTACTTCCTACAAGTTTAATCAGTTGCATTTTACTAATTGTAACTTCCAAACCTTCAAATTCAATTTAGGGATTTGCGTAAATACCAACCAACTGTTTTTGATCAGCTGTTTTCTTGTTGGCAAATTGCAGTGGGCAAATTTTTTTTTCCAGCAGAAACGAACAGCTTTCCCTCAAAATGAAATGTCATTTTTTTCTCTCAATTTCCCCTTCTTTGGAAGTATTTGCGTACGCGAACACAAAGAGCTGATGGTTTTTATAACTTTCAATAACTATCAGGTGCGCGAATGCAAATAATTGTGAACGGTATTTTAACTTTACAAAATTTACGCTATGCGCACACTGCAGCCGGCATCGGCCGATATCGCCTATATGCGGGCGATATGAATAAACCAGGGACCGTAAATAACAGTTACTTTTTTTCAACGGTTAAACTTGGCCAGATATTTTAAAGTCGAAAATTAAAGTCCTTTCCTAATAATAAACACAAACCGCTTATCCAAATTAAACAAGTTTGGTGGCACCCTGAAATTGTGCATATGGAAACTGCATACGAAATAATGCATATGAAAAAAACCGAAATAATGCATACGAAAAAAACCGAAATAATGCACATATATGCAGTTTCGGTCTAAACCCGAAATAATGCATATGAAAAAACCGAAATAATGCATATATGCACAGTTTCGGTTGAAAACCGCAATAATGCATATTAGAAAAACCGAAATTATGCTATGCACTGTTTCGTTTGAAAACCGAAATAATGCATATGAAAAAATCCGAAATAATGCATAAATGCACAGTTTCGGTTGAAAACCAAAATACCGCATCTGAAAAAACCGAAATAATGCATACATGCACACTTTCGTTTGAAAACCGAAATAACGCATATGAGAAAAACGAAGTAATGCATGCATGCAGAGTTTCGGTTCAAAACCGAAATAATGCGTATGACGGAAACCGAATTAATGCATACATGCACAGTTTCGACTCGGAACCGAAATAATGCATATGACAAAAACCGAAATAGTGCATACATGAAAACGAACTTCCTTCTGCATAGGCGGACTTCGGCCGCGCTTAGGGATTATAACCCTTACTTAGTAGAACTCTCCTTTCTGTGTTTCCGGAAAAGAAGGGCGGAAGTATTTTTGCGCAGAACTTTTTTCTGCGTAGGCGGCCTTCGGCCGCGCTTAGGGATTATAACCCTTACTAAGTAGAATTCTCCTTTCTGTGTTGCCGGAAAAGGAGGGACGGAAGTATTTTTGGGCAGAACTTCTCTCTGCGTAGGCGGCCTTCGGCCGCGCTTAGGGATTATAACCCTTACTAAGTAGAATTCTCCTTTCTGTGTTGCCGGAAAAGGGTACCGGAAGTATTTTTGCGCAGAACTGCTTTCTGCGTAGGCAGCCTTCGGCCGCGCTTAGGGATTATAACCCTTACTAAGTAGAATTCTCCTTTCTGTGTTGCCGGGAAAAGGGGACCGGAAGTATTTTTGCGCAGAACTGCGTAGGCGGCCTTCGGCTGCGCTTAGGGATTATAACCCTTACTAAGTAGAATTACCCTTTCTGTGTTGCCGGAAAAGAAGGACGGAAGTATTTTTGGGCAGAACTTCTCTCTGCGGAGGCGGCCTTCGGCCGCGCTTAGAGATTATAACCCTAACTAAGTAGAATTCTCCTTTCTGTGTTGCCGGAAAAGAAGGGCGGAAGTATTTTTGGGTAGAACTTCTCTCTGCGTAGGCGGCTTTCGGCTGCGCTTAGGGATTAAAACCCTTACTAAGTAGAAGTAAATAATTTATTTATTTATTTATTTATTTATTTATCTTTATATTTTATAAATAAATTTATAAAATATATGCACGGGGGCTGGGCTACGAGGCCATGTTGCTCCCGAGTTGTTGTGCTCTTCTTAAAGTTATACTTCGTATAGGAGGTTGTGTTTTTTTAAGGCTTCGTTGATGAACTTTATGGTGTTTTCATTACTGCAGTCGAGTGTTTGTTCGAGGTTAGCGTGACTTCCTGAGATGGCGCAATCCTTGAGAACAGTTAGAGTCGTCCAACATTGGGTGCATTCTGGTGATCTGCCGCCGCTAAAATGGTGCCTGGTACTGAAGTTAGTTACACCGACTCTCATTCGTGCTATTTTAATACAGTCGTCCCTAGTGAAGTTTTCGTTATAGTGTGGTCTTTTAAGTTGTGCGTAAAGTGCTTGATGTCTGCCACACAGTATTTTTTATGTTTGCAGCTTCTACTTTGTGGAAATTTTTAATGATTGCGCTTAAACATGGAACTTCCATTATAAGAGGCATTTTTATAGCTTCTTTGGCTGCTTCGTCCGCTAATTCATTGCCAACTATACCGACGTGTGCTGGGATCCATAGGATCGTTATGCGCGAATTGAGTGTGACTCCGTCTAGAAGGAATCTTCGTGATCCACCGTCGTGTTGTAGTGATTTCACCACGCTAAGGCTATCCGAGCAAATAAGTGCATGTTTCTTTTTGCTCGATGCATGACGAACCGCAAATTTTATAGCTGCCAATTCTGCATTGAAAATGCCGGCGTGAGGTGTTAGAAGAGATTGCCGCACTTTCATATAGGAGTATCCGTTGGCTTGTTGTTCTATGACCGCATAAGCTGCTGTACCATTTAGGAAAGACCCATCCGTAAAGTAGGTGGTCTCAACTGGTATTTTGCTTTTATACTCTAAAAATTTTTTTTTAAAGAAATCAGGACACGTATTGTTTTTATCATGTGAACTAATCGTAGTATCTATCGTTATGTTAGTGCTTGTTGGAATGTTGTTTGTTGGTTTGTTTGGTATTGGAGAGTTAATATTGGTCAGATGTATCAGAATGTGTTGAATGCTTGAAGCGTACGTGTTACTTTTGATGATTCTCTTGTAAGCATTTATATGATACCAGAAAGTGACGTGTAGTGCGTGTGAAGGTGTTGTTATAGATTTAGCTGCTAAATTTAGCGAACTGTTTAGCAGCAAAGACTCAAAATCTTTGTATTGAGCTTCAACGACGAGAGCATCCTTCGGTGTTGGTGTTAGAAGTCCGGATGCCGTTCTGTAACATTTATTTAAGGCTACATCTATTTTTTTAATATTCATTTTTGAGGTCCATCCATAGAGCGTTATGCAGTGCCGCAACACTCCTGTGAGCGAACGACATATTGAGAGTGCAGTACACTCCGAATCGTGGTTCTAGTAAAATCGCAATTTCGCTTCTTGCAGATGTGAAGAGCTTCTATTTTGTCACCAGGTATAACTGCGCCTGTATTTGTTGCCCATTGGTGTATTTTTGCGTCGAGGATATTTAAGCTTCTGCTCACTTCCTCTGCTGTTCCAGAGGCCAGGGCAAAGATATTATCCGCGAAAATA